CCCACCCCCATCCCCAGGCGTGCCCCCCATCCGATCGGGCGTTTTTTCCGGGGCGGGGAGGGGTAGGGGGGGGGGGGGGAGGGGGGGAAGTTATTGGGGTTTGCAGCACCAGCAGCAGCCGCTTGTTGTTAGGAATGCGAGTGTTAGGAGTTGGGGGACGGAGGAGAAGGGGATTGGAGGGGGGAGAGGGGAGGGGGATGGAGAGAGTGTGAGGACTGTTAGGATGGGGAGGGAGGGGTGAGGGAGGGGTGAGGATGGGAGGGGAGGGGAGGGGACGTGATATGATGTTTGGAATGTTTCGTACGTCGTACGTAGGTAGTTAACTACCCTAAGTTAATTTATTTTATCGGTTTAGCAAGATATGAAATGGGCCTATACATCGATATCCCCAACCCTCCCCCACGCAAAAACAGAAGAAGAAGAGAGGAAGAAAAAGAAAAGATGCTTGCAGATCCTTCAATTGACTCAATCATGGACAATGGAGGGATTCGAACCTTCTTCCATTGGACACTGGACACTGGCATTTGACTTCTCGGAATCTCGGAAGAAGTTAGAAGCGAGACTAGCGAATGCACTATGTATCTTTCTTTGAAGTATAAGTATCGTTGGGTGTTTCATTGAAGGTAAGCTAGCGCTGACGTTCATGATTGGGTAGTACTAGTTAGTCAACGCAAGCTATCTTATACTTATAGACTTCCTTCCTCCCTTCTGTGTTGAAGGGGATCCGACTGCGACAAGTCCGATTCCGAGGGAATGAGGGGAATGATTCATGATTCATGAGAAGTAAGTAAGTAAGTAAGTAAGCGCCCTCCCACCCTAACCCTACTTACTAACTATCTTTCTCTGTGGTATAAGTATCGTTGATGTTGGTCGGCAAGCTTTCAGCGCTAGCGTTTCAAGCTCTGAGCCAGAGCCGCAAGTTATTGAGGCCAACCCAAACCTCAACGCAAGCTTAAGGTCTTCCTTCCTCCTTCCGTGAAGGGACTAGTACTCCGGGGGAATAAAATTTAAACAAGTAAGTAAATAATTAAAGAAAAGAAAAGAAAAGAACCTTCCCCGAGCCATGTCAAGAACCTCGCCGATGGTAGTAGGAATCGAACCTACATCCCGTTCGCCAGTTAGTATATGGATTGCCTTCATGCACTACTAGAACAGTTGTCAGTGATGCTCTGTTGTTGAGCTACAGAGTCGGCTATACATACTGTATCCTTGATTTTTAGGTAGAAGGGAAGAAGACTTGGGGATGTGGTTAAGTGTATCTAGCTGATGAGAACTCGAGAAATTCCTCCGTGGTCATAAGTATCAATGCCAGGATTCGAACCTAGGACATTAGCTGTGAGTAAGGCGTCGAGCCCAAGCTATTGCACCCTTCAAGTTGAAGCATGCAGTGCATGAGCACTGACACTCCTGAGCTACCTTCTGCCATTAGATGTGAAAGGAATTGGGGTTCGGATATTTATAAATTGTGACGATTTACCTTTGATACGTAGATGAAACAGACTCAGTGTGGCGCACGAGGTCCATACAGTCATTGATCGATTGATCATCAGTGGTTCGTGCTCTCACTCGTTGAATACATACATGGACTCTGAGCGAAAGAACGAACGAACAAAGGCATACAGCCCTGAGCACTAGAGCGCTAGAGCTAAACAAAGAAAAGAAGGCCAATGCTTGAACTTGAGGAAGGATACATACTACCAATGGTAGGAGTCGAACCTACATCTTTGCCTGTATACAACCTATTTGACGCGGTATGAAGAGGCGATGCTCTTTCATCGAGCTACATTGGCCGTTTATTACTATAGTCCCGATTAGTTTCTTCAATGAATACTTCTACAGGTCGTGACATATACCCTCACCGTCTGTATGTTGAATGCGTGTTGGATGAACGAACGAAGGAACACGGTTCTGAGCAAGAGGGAAAAGAATTGAAAGAAAAGTTCCTAGGCCTGTTCAACCCCAAAGAGCAACTATGGTAAGTACCAATGGTAGGATTCGAACCTACATCTTCGCCTTTAGCAGAGTATGATGAAAATACGAGGGGCGATGCTCTTTCATTGGGCTACATTGGCCGATGATTATAATTAGTTCCTGGCAATACTAGTACTCAAGCAATACTTCGACGTGATTTTTAGCTCTCAGTACTTATCGTTGGTGTTGGAAATTTCAAATTCATTGAAGGTAAGCTGACGTTCATGCACATGATTAGAAGATAGGTTGAACGTCAACTTCGCAAGATACGTACTTATCTTCCTTCCTCCTTCCGTGTTGAAGGCGATCCGAGTCGATTGGGCCCGGATGATCATGAAATAAGTTAGTAAGTAATCCATCCCTGCAATCCATATTATAGAAAAGAAGTGAGTCCCCTGAGTCGGAGAGGCCGATGGTAGGATTCGAACCTACATCCGTTCGCCATTGTATATATCCAAGGATCACCCTGCAATAGAACTGCGATGCTCTGTCGTTGAGCTACATCGGCTACATACTGCATCCTTGCTGCATCCTTGATTTTGTAAGTAGAAGGGAAGACTTTGGGGATGTGGTTATAAATCGTGCTATCTAGCAGATGAGAACTTGAGGAACTAAAAAAAAATTGACGCATCATGTCAGGAGCCGATGGTAGGATTCATCATTCGAACCTACATCCGTTACGCGTTGTATCTGTAAATAATGGCATATTGCAGGCATACTGATAGAACAGCGATGCTCTGTCGTTGAGCTACATGGGCTAGTATAAGCATCTTGGTTGTTTAGAGAGAATGGACATGGACATGGATGAAAGCTTTTGTTTCGATTTACCACCTATAGATCCGAATTCGACGCCATTATACACCCATGTGGCATGCACACGCCAACCCCCCTCCCCCTCCCCATTCCCCCCTCCCAATCCCAATCACAACCCCCACCATCCCCAAGCATAACCTCCATCCGATCGATGGGTAGGAAGGGGCAAGGGAGTTATTGGGGTTTGGCGCCGATTGTGGTTAGGAATGCGAGTGTTAGGAGTTGGGGGAGTGGGAGTGGGAGGGAGGAGAGTGGGAGTGGGGGTTGGATGGGAAGAGAGGGGAATGAGGAGAGGGATGGAGATGGGGATGACGAGAGTGTGAGGACTTTTAGGATGGGTAGTGGTAGGGAGGGGTGAGGACGCGATTTGGTGTGATATTTGGGAATGTTTCGTACGTAGGTAGCTATAGTTACCAACCCTAAGTTAATTTATCGATAATATCGAAAAGGAATGCCGTTTATATATATGTTTAACAAGATATGAAATGGGCCTATATATCCCCACCCTCCCCCACGAAAAAAAAAAGAAGAAAAAAAAAACATGTACAATCGACTCAATCATGGCCAATGGAGGATTCGAACCTTCTTCCATAGCACATTTGACTTCTCGGAAGAAGTTAGAAGGGACACTAGCGAATGCACTATCTTTCTCTTCGAGGTATATCGTTGGGTGTTGGAAGTTTCAAATTCATTCATAGGGATCGACAATCCCGATTCCGGGGGAGTGATCATGAAAGAAGTAAGTAAGTAAGTAAGGAAGCGATCCCTGCCATTCATAGTATTAAAGAAAAGAAATAAATCATGATTAGCCTCGCCACAATTTGATCGGTGTATGTAGCTTGTTTGTGGACGGAGAGACGGTGTTTGGGAGGTACGGTTGGAGGCGTCTGGGGGGCGGCCGAAGGATGGATGGACTTCAACATTGGCATCGATCATCGTTTTTAGCTTCTTAGTTTCCTCGGACACTTCTTCAACAGAGAACGAGAGAGATAAGAAAGAAAGAAGGTTCTCCGCCTCGAGCGGAGAGAGCCCCCTTTTGAAAAAGAAAAAGATCAAAAACCGAGAAAATTCCAGGGTGCACGAATCGCAGATAAGTAGGCCAAGAAAAGAAGATAAGGAAAGGAAATGAAAGAAAACAAGA